TCTCAAGGTTCTCATCTGAGAAATAATATTCAATTTGTGCTATCAACTTCTGGATCAGGTCATTTTCTGGTGGTTTCCAGTTCTGGTCTGAGTCATCATCATTTTCCCCACCACTGCAAAACAGTCAGATAATTTGATTAACAGGATTCCATCTCCTATTAATAGAGTAAAGGAATGAAACAAAAAAAAACCCAAACCAAAACAACAACAAAAAAAACCCAACAAAAAATAAACAACGAAGTGAACATGAATACCCATAGTGTCTATTCCAGCTTCTTTTATACATAGGAACTAAGTAGGTAGAGCCCTGTCCATCTGAGGCTGGCTCAGATGATGCTTTCCAGTTAGCGTAACGAATCAAATTCCTGAGCTCATGCCAAAAGCTGATCTCAGTGTGGAACAATGACACATGTTTACTAGTGTCTTGAAAACACTGCCAGCTCAAATCTTACACCAAAACAAGAAATACAAGTGCACAGGAGTTTAGTCTTCATTGTGGCAGCACTTGGTTTTTCAGCATGAAGGTGTCAACATTTCTGTGCTTCGTGAGTATAACAGGGAATTCATATTCTAAACTGATGGAACCATATTTTTCTCAAGCATTTTCACATTATGAATGCACTTCAGCAGCCAGTATCCAGAGAGAAATGCAGACTGCCAGGACTGCTGAACTTTTTACAGGTCAGTTGTACAGTGACGGCTAACTTCACTGCAGTTTACTGAGGGATTGGAGCTCTCTGTAGGTGTCAGATTAAGGACTGTGCTGTGGTAGCAGCTCACGTGGTATCCCTCAGGAATAGCTGTATGCTGTAGACATACAGGCAGGCTGCTTAAGAGATCACACAAATTTCCTGTCTCCCCCTTCCATGCTGCTATCTACATATCTGCAAAGTAGAGCACTGCCGAGGATTTTGTCCTGAAAAAAGATGTTGGAGCCATGGAACTGAGACCAGCTTGTTGCCACATCCCATTACAGCCACGTGTTTGTTGCTGGAATACAAACAACCTTTTAAGCTGTCGTCCAGCACTGATGCAAGCAGCTCACCCACATGCTGCAGCCACAGATGTCGTTATAAGAATTATAGTGGCGGTCTTAGAACTATTTGTTTTTTTTTTTCCAAAGCTATTAGCTGTCTAGTTTTGCTGTGGGGCTGTCACAAAAGTTCCTACAAAAAAAAAAAAAAAAGAAAAAAAATCCACTATGTTCCCCAGTCCTTAAAAATCACATAATTGCTATTGTTCATACTGTCTCCCAGATACCTCAGTGATAAAAAAGAGGAGCCATTTTCTCAAAATTTTCTTAAAGTGATTTTTGCAGAGCTTGTGAGATCACTGAACAAGAGGGAGCAGGCTTCACACGAGGGTGCCCCAGAGGGCAACTCTGTAGGCAGGCGGAGGCTACTGACTCACCTCACTGTGCAGCCATTACTTGTGGGCACAAACTGGAGAGCTTGGTCCTACTGCAGGCTGATGTGCTGTGTGCTGCTGGGCTGCCCACGCCTTTGGGTTGGCAGCAGAGCCCACACTGCTCTGGTCAGCGGGTTCTGCACAGGGAACACACTGCGCTCCCAGATGTGACCGGTTACTGCAGGCTTTTGGAAGCTAGCTATTTATTTATGGCTCTTCCTGCGCAACAGCTGCGCACAGGCAGTCTGTCACACAATCCTAGAAATCTCCGTGAGAAGAGTGAGAGCAAAAGAACCCGAATTTCAGTCATCAGAAGGTGTTGGAAGTGGAGGATTGCAGATGAAGTTGTTATTAAGAAAGTAAAAAAACTTCAGTGGCCTACAGTTGTTGCTGATTTGAGAAGGAAGGAAAACAAGATAAAGTGATTGTTTTTCATTCTCTCAGCCCACAACCTCTCGTTTTCCATTCACTACCTGTTGTGAGTAGTATGTGCAGAAGAAATCATGCATGTCAGCACTTTAACATATCCACACTTTGCTAAGTAGAGCTTACCTTGAATTCAGGATGAAGCTTACAACTTTTACAGATTTTACTAGTACAGAAATTTGCAGGTATTTTGAAGCTTCAGATGGAAAGAAAATGCAGCATCATGCTTGGAAAAAAAAAAATGGACTGCATCAGTTCTGTTCTTACTGAAGTGTTAACACATGGAGTCAGGGTGATACATCTCATTTCACCTATGTAAAACATTAAATATCGCTCACACTTTGAGCTGCAAGCCATTTCTGTATTTGGCAGACAGCTCAGCTTTCACAAAATCTTTAGAGCTCTTATAGTAGCTGTCACTAAGTATTGTATTGGGAGTTCCCCTTCCTGCAAATGCAGAAATTTGTAATTAGCTGCACGTTAACTCCTAGTAATGACCAAGTGGTACCACCTCTTGAGGGTATGACTCTGAAGGTTAATTAGGTTATGAATCAATGTCAGTCAACACTGTGAAAAAAAGTAGTTACATATCTGCATAAATTTGGGATCTAAAATATCAAAACTCACAAACAATATATTAATGTAAATGGAATCATTTTGACATGCTTTTCCTGAATCTATAGAAGAAAGATGATATTGCACTATGTGGCAACATAATAAACACCATGAAACCGAAGTTCCAACAGCATGCTCGTTCAAGGCAGTGGAAATGTGTTAACAACCAACTGGTAACAGTAGGTATGATGTAAGCTAGCAGGACTGATAGCTGCAGCAATCATTAAATCTCAATTTTGATTGCAGAACTGATGTCATCATAAAAATCTTTCACCTTTGAAGGTCAGATTCCTGTGTCTGGCTGTATTCAAAAGACATTTAATTTGGGCAAGAATTATATTTGGTTATGCATGTGTTTTGTACATTACAGAGGAGCAACTTCTATTTATAAAGTCTGTATATTTTTCTAAAGTACCTGGCAGCTAAGAGACCAGGGAACAAACACCAGATGATTCATGGGGCTCCCCTAGAACTGTGGTGTCTTGACCATGAAGAGCAGTTTTCATTTGCTACATGATCTATACGCCAGCTCAGCTCACAGTGCTCTGCGACACTTCCAGCAGGACTCACACCACCTAGTAAGTGCAGAGCAGAGTGTGCATTCCAAAACCAGTAACTGAGAAAGCTTTGAAAAGTGGAACCAGTCCTCCTTCAGGAGCAGCCTTACTTCTCCTCATTTTGTCAACTTATGCATCATTAAAAATAACAAAAATCCTTCTATTAATGAGTTTGCACAAATTGGCCTCAGTGTTGTACCCAAGAGCATCTATACACGCACTGCTTTTCTGAGGGCAAGCTCTGAATTTCCTACCGTTCAAACTCAAGGCGTGTGTTCTGAAGACCTTGCTAAGGAAGGATGCTCACACGGTGCGTTGCCACAGGTCGTGCTGTGCTGATTTTAGCACTTCAGCACAGAGAGCACTATTGGCGTTATCAAACAGTGAGACATAGAGTAGGTTATAAGGCGGTCGCTATTTCACCTCTGTGCAACTCGGGTCCAAAGCCCCAGAAATATCTGCTGGGGCATATCATATCTACTCTACTGCAGAACATCAGTACGGTGCTCTGCCAAGCACAGTGAGAACAACAACCATCACAACCCCCAAACCGAGCCACTCTGGCCCTTTCGGTTCGGGGCAGCGAAACGACCGACCGCTGCGAAGCGTCACATCCAGTCCCGCTCCGCTCCGGGCAGCGCCCCGTACCGCCGCCGTTGCGTCAGCCGCGGCCCCGCAGGGACAGGCGGCCCGGCTCGGCTCACCTGGAGCGCCCGCACCGCCCCGAGTCCTCCTCGCTGCAACTGCCGCCTCCCCGCGCCGCCGGGCACTGCACGCCTTCCTCCTCCTCGTCCTCCTCCTCTGCGGCCACGCAGATCTGCACCGGGCCGCCGCTCGCCGCGAGCTCCGTGCCGGCGGCCCCGTGCTCCTCCGCCCCGCGCTGCCGCTGCGCCATGGCGCTCCGCTCGTCCCGCGTTGGCGCTCCCCTCGGGCACGGCCCGGCCCGCGGCGCTCCCTCCCCGCCGCGCTGCCCCCGGCTCCGGGTACAGCCGCCGCCCGCCCGCCGCTCCTCCTCTGCTGGCGGCGGGCGGATCGGCGCCGCCCGGCGGGGCGCGACCCGGGACGTGCGGCCCGGCGCTGAGCCGCGGCGGGGCTTTGGCGGGGTGAGCGCGGCCGCAGGGATCGAGGCGGGCAGTGACGAGGCTAAGGCGCGTGTGACCGAGCGGCGTTCGGTTTTGCAAAGCGGTTCCGCGTGGAATTCAAATGGAGTAAAGGCATCCCCGACAAGACGCGATGGAGATACCGAGCCGCCTTAAGTCCGTCAGCTCGGTGCGCAACGCTGCATTTCGGAGGGCTGGTTCTGCTATTAAAGTGACAGCTGCGTTTTCACGGTCGGACTCCAACCGCAAATCTCCCTGTCAGCATTTGGCTTTCACTGCCGTCACGGCGCCCAGCCCCTCCGTGAGGCATCACCGCCATGTCCGCGGCACTCAGCTCCGCTCTGCGCTCCGCTGGGCTGCGGACCGGCTCCGCGTGCCGCCACGTCTGGGCAAAGATCGGCGCTATGGCTGCGCAGCCCCGCCGCCATCGTCCTGGCGTGCTGATGCTGGGGTAACGACGGGCGGGAGGAGCGGCCTCCTCGCACCGAGCAGGCTGCGCACGGACGCGCTGGCTCTCCTCTGGAGATGCTCCAAGCAGCCCGCACGCTGTGCGGCGGTTCCCCGGAGATCCCTGCCTGCTCATGCGGTTCTGCCATTAGTGCAGATGAAAGGTGATAGCACTGCACACACAGAGCTGATCTGACCGCAGCTGGGACTACCATGTTTTAAGAGAACAACACCGCGAAGACCCTTAAGGCTCGACGGCCGGCAGTGGTTAAGTGACGCTCCGAGGGCGCTGCGGGACAGCCGGCAACGCCCCGAGAGCGCGGCGCTGCGCGGGAGCGCTGAGGGCGGGCGGGGCGGAGAGCCCGGCGGTGCCTCCCTCAGCCCGCCTCCCCGGAAGCGGCCGTTGCCGCGGTAACGGCCGAGCGATTTCCGACAGGGGCGGCGGCCGGCCCCAGGGAGGCGGGTGGCGATGGTGCCCAGCAAGTGCCGGCCCGGCAGGGGCTCGCGGGCCGCGCCCGGCCCGGTATGTGCCACCGTGAGGGCGGCGGCTGCGCGGGGCGGGTGGCGCGCGGTGGCGGCGGTTTCTCCTCAGTGCGTGAGCGAAGAGCTCCGCCTGTCGCGGACCCGTGAGCGTGAGTCGGGTTTGTTTCCCGCTGTGGCACAAAGGCGTTCCTCAGCGCGGTGCCGGGTGGGGCTCCTGCTGCCGTGCTGGAGGTGCCGTCCTCGGAAGTTCAATGAGCCCGCTGTATCGATGCACGTTTTGGGAAAGCGTAATGCTGTCTTTTTTCTCTTCCCGTGCTCAGGCCGGTAGCTGCGGGCTCCAGCTGCTGATCCAGACATCCGCGATACCCAGTAAAACCAAGCCAGTAATTGCTGTTTTCTTTCTTCAGTAGATAGGTGGATTCGTGCAGTTGTGTGTCACGTTTCTGTGCCACGTGTCTGTGATTTCGGATGGGGATCGCCTTTTCGGCAGTGGCGTGTTGGTTTTTGACTCACTGCCTCGTGTAGCTGATAGCCTTCTCGTGGTGTATTTAGTGAGGATGTGTGGAGTGAAGCTGCTGGGCTATCCTGTACCTGCCGTAAATTCAGCGTGTGACCTGTTACGCTTCCTTCTGTACACCTCCTCTTCCTTCCATGGTTGCAGTGGTCTTTTAGGGCAGTGTGTGTGTGGGTTTTTTTCCCCCTTTGTTTCGTGAGAACTGTGTTTGTTTCTGAGGCTGTGTTTGTCTGTTTGAGGACACTGTTTGCCTTTGAAGACCTCAGTGTTTCTCTCATGCATTTTGTTGTAGTTTGACTTCAAGATAAGTAAAGAACCCTCGTCTCTCCACAGCAGACTTTTGCAGCACGACCTGGAAAAAAGCTATTCAGGAAGGCAAGGTGATGCTCAGGAGGCTTTTGGTTTGTTTTCTTTTTTTTTTTTTTTTTTTTTTTTTTTTGGTGGGAGGGAGAGGCTTTTAAATTTCTTCTTATGAGCTAAACAGTAAAGAAAGGCTTTATTATGAGTAGAAAAATGTTACTGGCTTTTGTATATAACTGTTTTTCCTAACTGAGCGCATTATATCCTGGAACTCCTATCTCTTCTCCCTAGTGCAGGTGGCTTTGCTTGTTGTTTTTTGTTTTGCTCTTTCTGCCCATGGAGGAGCATTCCTTCTCTCACTTACAGAGCCACAATATTTGTGAGTGCCTTGCTCAACTCCTCTGTCCTCTGAAGCCATGCAGTTCTCAACCATCACCTCTTGTCGGATGTCTAGTGTATGTGTATAGACAAAATCTGATTCCAAGTTGTGAAGAGATGGTTTTCCTCTTGAGTGCTTCTGGCTTTGAAAAGTGAGGTATTTGGTGGCATCACTGTTAACTGGTGAAACCTGGAAAAGCTCTGACACATACCTGCACTGCTGCTGCTTGCCTGTCATAAAAACAGTGGTGGGCTGGGATTGGAGGTAGTTTGGCTATGTTGGCAATGAAATATCTGTGTATGGGAGTTCTTTATTCATCCCAGTAGATAATAAAGACCAGCAGCTGTTCAGAGTGGGTTGATTTTTAGGGCTGTTACGCAGTTTATTCTATTGTGAAGTTTTGTTTTGTTTGCCCCACAGGAGACCCGAGAATGTTGAGCCCTTTGGTGCGCAATAAGCAGCTGTATCTTCCAGTGCCATCCACCCTGACTGAGCTTTCTGGTTTGGAGTTCAAGCAAAGCACAGGTTCTTTATCTGGATTTGGGGAGTCTTCTATACATGCAAAACCCAGATCCCGACAAAGCAGTCACAGTATTAGTTCACATGCTTCAGGTAAGAGTGTAAAGTTCTCACCAGTCTTGTATTTATTTACTTATTATTTGTACGAGGCATTTAATTTGAACAGTCACAGCCTGTAAGATGTCTCTACTGGCTATGGGCTGTATAATTGCATAGCATGTGTTGTCTCCTGTTCCCATGGTGTATTAAGAGATCGTTGTCAGGAAACTGCTAGTGATATCTTCCAAGTTTTAATGAAGACATTTAAACATAGGCTTTTTATGTACCTTTCTGTAACAAAAGGACAATGTAGGGATCTGTTACGGCGTACAAAGTAAAAAGTAATGTCATCTTTAATTCCTTGTGTTTATTGGCTTTAAAACCTGAGGCACGTCTTTAACTTTAGCAACAATGCTGATTGTTTTTAAGTTTCAATTTTTTTTTTTTTTATTCTTCAGCAATTCATTTCACTTTGAAAGATATGTAGAGAATATTGGTTGTTATACAGTGGTTTGTTAGAGCAGCCACTAAGGAGAATTGGAAGGTAGCACTGAAAAGCTTCTAAACCAAATTAAGCATGAACAAACCTTTGTACTTATTTAGCTGTTTTTACTAATCATGTGTTCTACATAAGAAGGAAGTTGCTCTCTGTAGAAGTAAAGAAATTAATTCTTACTTAGTGAAGAATTTGTGTTTTTTTTCCCATTAACGTCTTTAAAAAAAAGTGCAAACATGGATGATTGTGTGTTCTTGTGATAGCATACATGCACAGTGATCTGTTTCTGACCAGTATCTTTCAGTGGATTGTTCTCTAAATAAGCTAAAGCTTGCCATATAGGTTGCTTATTTGTTTTTTGGGTATTTTTGGTCATTTTCCCTCTTTCTCCTTGTATTAACAAAATGGAGTTGGTTATTTTGTAAGCATGTTTAAAAAGGTTCTCTGTTTTTTCCTTGGTAACGGTGTGAAGCATGAAGCAGTTACAGCTGGGTGACAGATGCACTCACGTGTGAAAGAATCCACGTTTGCTTCTGGCTCAGTGGGACTGCTCCTGTGTTTCAGTGCTTTAGATTTTAATTGGATCAACATATATTTGATCTGTGTCATTATAATTGTTCTTAATACAGATAGTATCCTTGTTAAGTTCAGATATTGGAGTTGTGAAACCAGTATGCAGTCTTAGGACAGCATTGGGTAATTCTGATCAAAACAAAAGCATCTACAAACTGTCTGCTTACCACAAATTATTTAAAAAAAAAAAAAACAAAACCAAAACCCTGTCACATGTGAGCTCAGTGGATGTAGGTTTGCAAGAGGGGTGTATCTGTAAACTAAAAATGGCAGAAAACTGGTGGGCCAGAGTCCTGAGTGCAGGCAAAATGCGTTTCATGTACCATGTAATTCTTTTAGTAAGAAGTAACTATTAGTGGTAGTTAATGAAATTAATTTGTGGTTGTTCATGCGTTCTTTTGATGATTTTCTGATAGATAGCGCAAATTTTGGGAGCAGTTCATCAATAACATTTCCTGTCTTGCAACGTACTGCTGAGGAAAAAATACTGAACTCGGATAGACTCACCCTGGAAAGGTGAGCAGGGAGTGGAGTCTGGGCTCAGCAGCTTGCTGCTCTTGTGTCTGCTGGTCTCAGGGGATGAGTGTTGAGCAGTGCTGGTAGGTGTGGGAGGGGGCGGGCTGCTTTTCTTGTTCTTTGTTTCTTCTTCTAGAGAGGACCTGTGTTCCACTGAGATGTTCTGTATGAGTTTCCTTGTAAAAATTCAGTGATGGCACATATATCCATACAGCAGGTATGGATATATAGGCAGGTATAATAATCTAAGGCAGGTAGGGTTTTTTATTTTGAACTAAAAGCTGGATTCAAAGACGTGCAAGAAATCAATAGAAAGTTGAGGCCTTTGTCTCCATTAATTGTACTCTGATGCATTAACTGTAGGGTGTCTTTCTTTCCTTAACCAGGACAACAAAAAAAAGCTAAATGTGAAAACCACATTCAATTGTAAATAATTGTGTGAATGCGTGTGCACATTTTTATTTAGTTAGTTTTGTTTATTGGTGATGCTTATGTAGTCAGAAAAAGCTCTGTGAGGTCAGTAGGATGTCTTTTGGAGATAATCCTGCTGTGAGAATGGCTGTTATCAGCATCATTTTTGGTATCTTTTAGCTTTCAAAGTAACTCTCAACATTTCATGCATTTATACTTCAAATGTGAAGTTCTGTAGTGTAAAGAAGCACATAAACTTGGTGTGCTTTGAAATTTGACCTCAACAGGCTCCTTACATGGGGTCTGAATGGCACATTGGCATGCTGTATCTGCTGAATTTGTAGTGTGGTCACAGTGTGAATTCTTCAAGTAACTTCCATGTGACAAAGAAATTCTAATTTGAAGGAGAGGCTTTAAGAAAATGTTGAAAGCACTTCTGCTATATGTTTATATTTTTCTACATTAAGGATTTACTTTCCTATTCCATAGGTGTTTAGTGAGCAAGCCTCTTAATCAAGATAATACCCTTTTCTCAGTTCAGTTGGCGTGGGTTAGTAAAAGGGCGATTACAAATCAGTTACTTTCATAAGATGCTTTTTGTTGTTGTTCCAGGCAGAAGCTGACAGTGTGCCCAGTTATCGATGGAGAAGATCACCTTCGCCTTTTGAATTTCCAGCACAACTTTATAACCCGGATCCAGAATATTTCCAACCTGCAGCATCTTGTTTTCTTAGATTTGTATGATAACCAGATCGAGGAAATAAGCGGGCTTTCAACTCTGCGATCCCTGAGAGTTCTTCTTTTGGGGAAGAACAGGTATAATAAAAATGACTGGCTTTAAGCAGCCTACTTTGTTACGGCATAGTGTCTGTAATCTATCATTGCATCTGTTACAGGGTTTTCAGCTTGTGATGTTGGTTGTGAGACCAATGGGTGCACTCCTGATAAATGGTGTCTAATAACAGCAAGCTTCCTAGTTTTAAAACAAACAAACAAACAAACAAAAAAAGCTCAAGAAAAAATATAGATTGAGATGGGCATTTCCAAGAGCCATCTAGCTCTGTGTACGTTGTAACTTCACTGTGCAAGGAAGAAGGTAGGAATTAGACTTGCTAGCACCTTCAGTTCATTGCCTTGCCAGTTCATTTGCAGCTGCTGTGCTGGGTGTCTCCCTGGTCATTGGCTGTAGGAGAGTTGCAGCCAATCTGTCACCAGCACTTCTTGGCCTTCATCTTTCAGCTGTGTATGCATCATTCACTTCAAAACATAAACCAATGGAGAGTGATCTTTTTCTTTTCCTTATCAGTAAAATGCTAGTTAGAGAATTTTGGTAACTTCTAGTAGTACAGTATTTTACTGTAGTTTTTGGCTTTTATAGCTGAAATCTAACCTGTGGATATTCATTTTGGTTATTGCAAATTTTTGGGTTGTTGGAGCAATAACTAAGTTGCTATAAGGAGTTATTTTCCAAAATTAGCTACAGTAGTTCTGTATAGTTTGCTTACATTGAGGTATAGTTTGGAGACAGACAGGAGGAGAAATACTTGCTGTAAGTCACATAAGGCAGTTGCTACAAGAGACTTTTCCACTGCTTCTGTGCATGGTTTTTAATTTTTGAAGCAAATGCATAATGTGTGTGATGTTTAATGTAACCAACCAGCAGATGGTGCTGCTGATGCTTCAGTAACCTGGGCTTGGCGTCTGAGAAAATGGGACAGGACAGAAGGGCGTCGTCATGGTGAGGTGGTGAAGCTGTACAGGTGGAGAAGAAATTAGGCCAAATGTAGAGACCTGTATTGTCTAGGAAGTGCCAGCAGAGCTGTTAAATGTGTTTTATTCTCAATTTTTGTAACAAAATCTTAAAACTGTCTCTACAGTTTTGCTTTAAACAGGTTTGGGAAGAGCCTTTTGCCAGTAATAGTATTTCTTATCTTTTGCATAGGTTGTGTGTTGACTTTGTTTTCTAGCAGTGCAAGGATTCTTTCCCTGGAAAGAATCTTCCAGGAAGAGTGATAGTGCAGATTGCTGCTAGGATGACCAGAGAGGAAAGTGGCAATCTAAGGCTTATTTATTTATTTCAGAGAGTTGAGAACTCTGCTTTTCTGTTCCAATCAGTAGGCAGGAGCAGCTAAGTTTTGTATTAGCTTGAAAATATAAGGTACTTTTAATCTAATAAAAACAATTTCTGTCATTATTGAAACATTTCAGAATAAAGAAGATCTCAAATCTGGAGAACCTGAAAAATCTTGATGTTTTGGATCTTCATGGAAATCAGGTACAGTACAATAACTTGATTAATAAGTTATCTTATATAGATCATGCATTTCTGGTGTCCTTCAAACCGTTGCTTTTTGGAAGAGAATTGGTGGCAAGCCTTGCAACTTCCCGGAAATCAGGTAGTGATATCAGCTTGATTCGCAGTGTCAGCTTTCTGAAACTTGGAGCATTGTGCATTTGGAAAGTTGCAGGCTCTAATGCTGAGTAAGCTAAGCCTGGCAGCACTTACTTGTGCCCATGGAGCAGTCATCTCGTGTGAGTGGTTAGAAGTAAAACAGTCATAAAGTCGTAAAAGCATTTAAGTTCTTATTGGTCGTTGCATTGTTTCTTCTGTTGATCTCACAAATCAAGATCACATATGTACCTGTAGAGGACTTGGGTCTGTGTGAGAGAAAAGCAGAAGGAGTCCAAACTTCTTGTTTAGGCTTCTGAATGGACTTGGTGTCCTTTCAGATTATTCAGTGTGAGACTGTGCAGCTGCTTCTGTTTGTGATGCTCGAAGCTTCAGCTCTGCAATGTGTGAGAGAAAGGTTACTAATGATTCTGTCAGAAACAGCACAGGGTGCATGTAAGGGCAAGCCAGATAGAGTATTCTTCTGTAAAATAAATCTGAAACACATGTGATACAAAATGTTCTATAATTGAGCTGTTTAACAACACGTGGTTATTGTGACTATATAAGACCTATGCATGTTTTGTTTTTTTTTTTTCTGGATTCTTCTTCTGACAGTTTTGACTTCTTATGGTTTCTGTGTGTGTTCTTTATTATATCACTGCTTCACAGTGAGGAATTAAAATGCTGTAGGGAAAAAAAAAAGAGCACTTGAACGCGTCACTGTTACGTGAGATGCAGTAACTCTGTGGCTTCTGTGAGTTGCACCACTAACCCAATAGTGTGCAAGCAGTGTGCCAGAGGCACAGTGTAGTGTTAGTGCATTCTTTGTCAACAGACCAAATGAAGGCTTCCATTAATGAATTATTTTCTGTTCCTTTCTAGCTTGTAGTTAGGCAAATTTTGATATCAATACTCTTTTCTCCTCTAGTTGAGGAACTCATAATTTCAGACACCACTCTGCCATACAGATTTGTTATTTTTGAAGGTATACTGAATACGTAAAGCTGATTTTTCGTACCACTGTACAATAGTAATGTCTTGGTTTTAAGTCTGGTTGTTGTTTGCTTGTTTACTAATGAGTAGGTGGTCTCTCTTGTTATTTCATTAAGATTTTGGGCGCTTCTTACACTTCTCCATATCAGATTTCTGAAGAACCCACTTAATCTACAGAATTGGATTTGAGAACATGGAAAGATGTATTCCAGAACATAGCAACTTCTACAGCAGATCAGTAGAATCAAAAGTGAAGTGTTAACGCATAGCTCAAAACAACTGACTCAGATCAGTGTTCTGTTGACACGGTGTTCTCCCTCCAACATACAAGATTTTTTTTCTTGGATTCAGTTGAGAGTAATGAGAACCAACAGTGCAAGAAGCCTGTCTTGCTTACTGTCTATATGAAAATAATAGAAAGTATGATTTGCATTATATTAACTAGGCATTTATACATCTGTTTCCTTGGATGGCTTGTGGTGTTACGCTCTGCCCAGTTCTCACAGGAGGGTTAAAAGTAAATCTATTGTAAGTATGGTCAGTTTTACAATCAAAACCAGTTATGGATAGCAGTTCTGCTTTGTCAGAATGGTTTTCATTCCAGGTAGCTCTGATGACACTTCTACAGTGGATCACTGCTGGCATCTTTTCTTGTGGCTTGGAGGGAGAGGAGGAAGATAGAGTGGCTCTAGCAAAGAGCCACAGGTGTGTTGAAGAGGAGAAGCTGGCAGCACATGGGGCTGAGCAGGCTGTAGGCAGGGGCTGGACCAGAGGATCTCCAGAGATTCTTTGGAGCTCAACTGATATGATGAAAATAAATAATAATAATAATAATAACAACTGCAAAAAAAATAAGAGGAGTTACAAATACATGGCTAAAATGTCCCTGGTAAAGCCACAAAGAGCCTCCCTGTTGAATGAGTGGAAAGTGCTGTGGGATTAAGCTGCAGAGCACTGTATCAACATCCTATTACTGCACTCACTGAAAGGCACTCAGTGTTTGGGATTAGGATAAAAGCGTTTCTGTGGTTTTGATGTATATAAATCCCATACATTTGATGGCACTAGACAGCAACAGTCTGTTGATTTTTGGGGTGTTTCCTTGGCAGTGTGCTCTGATTGCTTCTGTTCGTCTGTTCTGAAACTGTCTGGAAGTAAAGGTTGTTCACAGCATTTCAGTGTTTTGTTTTGCTGGTTTCTTTCTTTAAGAGTATTTTTGGTTAATTTTTTGAGGCATAACACAGATAATCAATATTTTTTTTTAATAGTACTGAAGTCTAGATAGACACAGTTTCTTCTTGTTGATGGAGTAGTAACAGTTAAGAGCAAAGCTGCATTCCTGATTTATTCTTAGTCTCTCTTTCCTTCATTTTTTGGGTATAAGTCAGTCCCATAGATGGAATGCAGATTGTGAAACTTCTAAGACTGTAATGTTTTCAAGAGACTGGAGGTGAGGAGAAACAGAGGAAAATTTCTTGGAAAATATTTTGATTTATTTGGGTGCAGAATATTTTGGCTAATATGGTTCGGTCTGATCTTAGAGACTTCGCTGCTGCCAAGTGAGAAATTCAATGGGAACTGGATGTGCTTTAAGGCCCTGAAATGTAGTATTCTACAGTGTTTAATGCTGAACCTTTCAAGACTTTAAATGCAGAAAATGCTTTCCTATAATAAAGGTCCAAAATAAGGTTCTTAAAAAATAAAAAAATAAAAAGCAGTGTAATACCTCATGTAACGCCTCTTCACAAAGGGGACAAAATGCCATTTCCTCTGCCATGTCATTTTCTTTGCTTGTTTTCCTTTGTGATTTCGCAAGGCTCTTAAGACTGCACAGTAAAAACTTGTAAGCAGGCACAGCAACTTCATGCCATCTGCTTTAATTTCTGTGTAGAATCTGCAGCTGTACGACGGCTATCACACCGATGTGAACACCATGAGCTTTGTGATTCAGGGACTCTGTGTGCCATTGTGTGCAGTTTATACTTAACACACTGCAATTTCTATTTAATTTTTAAACAAACGTTTGCTTTCTAAATACTGTACTTTCAAACTCAATCTGCATGGTCTTTGGAAAGAATGGTGCTTGATGACCATCTTTTCTGTCAAGATAAACAGCATAAATGTTGTATGTTCTGTATAAATGCCTTTTAAAACCTTTCTTTCAGTTTTATTTTAGGTTAGAGTTGGCATGAACTTTACTCTGTCTTCAGTGAAGTAGCTTGATTGAATTTCACAAGGTTCTAATGAAGGCAGAACTTGGCTAACTGTATTTAGAATGAAATTTATTTCTCTAAATACTTTAAAAAAAATCTTTTTTTTTTTTTTTCGTTTTAAATTTTGTGAGTTATGTATGTTGCTTGGCAAATAGGGCCTCCTGTTTATTTCTGTGAAAACTGCAACTGATACAAAGAGCAGAATAACACCATTTGGTAAAGAAAATTCTTAGTTACAATGCACACTTTTTCAACATAGGCATCACCATTAGCTGTGCATTTTTGCCAGTAATGAATTAGAGCCAGCATGCTGTGCTTGTAAATATCTGTGCCTGTGGAGGTGACCTACTGTCAGTGCTGCTGAAATGCAGCACTCACTGTGCCTCCCATCCACTGCTTGGTCTCCATGAACCTTCAGGAAGCATCAGTTAACATCAGTGACTGCATTTTTTCCTCGTGGAGGAATTCAGTCCCACCTCTGCTTGCCATGCACTTCCATGTCAGATGTCATTCTGTCAGACTGCCCCTCTGCTGCCATCCATTGCAAGGCAAGAGCATGTAATGGAATACAGGTGGGAAAGTTCAGCTTCTACGCCATATGCCAACGTCTGCCTTTGACATGGCGGGCCAACAGAACAAAATAGGAGGCGTTACTTTTGGAGCAGGCCTTGTACTTTGCTGGCCTAAACCTTGAGGATGCAGGTTAAGCAGGGGGGAAAGGGCATGGAAGTGAGGAGTGGAAGGCAACTTCTTTTCTTGCTGAAAGAAATATTATGATCTTCTAAAAAGAGTTGGTACTGCTTGTTAGCTACTGCACAGGGCATAACAAAAACTGATGGACTTAGGGATGCGTGTGTGACTGAGAGTAGAGAAAGGCCAGTAGAGTCAAGTCTCAGAGCTGAGCAAAGCAACAGACAGCATCTCTGTAACTGTTGATGAAATCATAGTCCTAGAGATAGCAATAAAATGCCAGGATTGATATTCTGCATTGTAACATGCTGTAATCCTGGCTCCACAGACATCTGCAGGGGTCTGTGCTCTTCATGCTCACCATCTGCTCTTGGCTGTGCTTGTACAAATATTTCGGTCTAAATATATTGTTATAGACAATGGTGTCTCTGTTCCTTAGCTTTAATATTTTGTGTCCTGTTCCCTTTTTTTCTGCCATGTCATACGCATAAACAGAGCCTATTTGTTTAATTAGCAGTTGACTAAAAAAGGGACTCAATGTCATTTAGTTGCTGTTATTGCTATCTACTCTTCTGTACTTTTTATGGGGAAAAGTTGCCACGATACTTTTTACAGCAGTATATTCAGGTCATATCATACAGTTAGATGCCTATGTACATGTGGTTTGTTTGTATGACTGTTATCCGTGGCATTGTGCTCTCAGACTGATCAATGCCAGCTGCCTTGCATCTTCTCCCATTCTAAGAGTTGCAATTTCTGGAAATTGGCACAGCCACATTTGTACTGATCTATATGAGCAGAAAGCTTGGTATCACTGGGGAGCTGTATGACACCAGTCTCTATGTTGCTCACTTCCATCTAATTGCTGTTGGCAGTTTTGAGGAGGGGCAGCATGGCTGGGTATGGGTGTTGCAGGGGGCTCCAGTGGTCCTGCAGGTAGAACAGGCCATCGTTGGTATGGAAAGGGAATTTGTCATAGTTGTAAAGTCCTTGAAGCTACCAAGTGTTGGATGCACAGTGTGTGGTGTGGAAAGCCAGTCTTTTCCACAGGACTGCTTTCTTTCTGCTGTAGAACATGGGTTAGAGTAAGAATGTGATACAAGTGTCCCTGTGTGCAATGGCAGCTGTTTATCATCTCTGTGATACTTTTACATACTTTACTGTATGCTAATCCTACATAAATGTCTGGGTAAGTTCTGGAGAACAGTTTTCAGACCATTCTGAGAAATGAGTACCTGGATAGGGGTCATGGAGTACATCACTGAGAAATATGGACAGCAGGAAATAAAAAAAGCCAGATTATGTCAGAAGAGCAATAATTAATATCTTTTAAAAAGATATTGCATCTCCAGAAGTAACAATTAAACTTAAGAGGCAGTAGCTTTTGTTATTCTCTTGATTATTATTATTCTTTCAATATCGTGTGTTAATTCCTAATGCCTTATTTTAAACATATAGATGTAGAGCAGCTGACTTCTCTCCATAGTTTAGTCATGTTTGAACCTTCCATTTTCTGATCACAGGTAGCTGTGAGTTGGCAAGGAATTGCTGGGGGCTTTTGAGCAAGTGTGCCATGTATCCAAATGAGTGATGCTGCTATTTTCTGATTTTTTTTTTTTTGAATAATTTCTCCAAGTCCAACAACTATTTGCTTGCAAAAGTGCCTTACAAGTTCCAGTGCGAGGATAACTTTGTTCTTCTCCAGAGGGTTGTTGTCCAGGAGCTACTTGCTCCTGACTCACAGCATGTTCTTGTCCTCATGACCTGCTGGAAAGCCTGCCTGTAGAGCTTGTGCATAGCTGTGTGGCTGCTGCTGGCTTTTTAAGTCGTGGAGAAAAATAGTACAGATTTGTGATAATATGGAGGTACAATGCCATGTAAGTCTTGCAGTAAAAGTGCTACCAGATTCAGATGTGTGTCTTGAGTGTCTTAAATTAAGGGTCGGCTGTGCACATGATTTCCCCGTTTTGGCATTGTATGATCCTAACAGTGGTGTCTTAACTGCATGTCTTAAAGATTGCTGCCTTAAAGCAATGCAGCTGAAATAACCTAACTTCAGATGGTAAGAAGGGAGTGTTGACTGATCTTGCTGCTGCCTGACTAGAAAGATGTTACTGATGTGAATACTAGTACTCAATTTCCAGCAGACAGTAGCTGATGTTCAACTATTTGTGGTTAGTAACATACATAAGCATGCTATTAAGTTGCTTTTCTAATCTGTATGTATTTAAAAAAAAAAAAGTACGAACTACATGTATTTAGATAAAACACGGTGTGTGTGTTTATACCTCTCTCATAGATCTCTAGAATAGAAAACATCAACCATTTGAGTGAACTGAGAGTGTTAAACCTCGCCAGAAACCTTCTGTCCATTGTAGAAAATCTCAACGGACTGGATTCACTCACGGAGCTCAACCTTCGTCATAATCAAGTCTCTGCTATAGTAAGAAACAAAGCATCTTTCTCTTTTCCTCCCTCTCTCACCTTCCCTTCGTTCTTTCCTTCCTTTCTTCCAGGATTACACTATTGCTATTACTTATTGAAAGTATATCAGCATTTTAAGTTTGTCAAAGCTTAGATTATCCCATACTCTTCTGCTTGTGGTATTTTCTTGCAATGCTTGATTTTACAACTTGAAGGAGGAAATAACAGTTTGGTTTTTGCTGCAGTTTTGTGCAAATGCGATCAGTTGTGGTGATAAGTCTTGGTAGATCTTGATGGTTCTCCTGGACAAAAATATTCTGACCTTTTTTGGTTCTAACATACAAATTCAAGGACTCTTCTTCCATACAGGTTTGTTTCTTGAAACAGATTGTAATTTCTGTAGCTCAGCTAAGCAGTGCTTCAGAAGATGATGTTCTATTTAAGAATGTAATTTATTTGGGGTATAATTTAAAATATAAATGATTTAATTCTAGTTTTGGTGGTGGTTTGTGGGCTTTTTTTTTTTTTTCCCCTCTCCTTTGTTTTTTTGCTTTCCTTTTAATTGGATGGAATGATACATAGCAATGTATCAGATCAGGTGGGGGGGAGGGAGAACTGAAGATTTGATTTGTAGCTGGAATCAAGGTGATGAGCTCTGTGCCGCTTCATTGTGCTGTGGGTAATGGTTTGATGTCCACTGATCACAAGCTGGAGTATGTTCCTTTGTAGGATAAGGAGACACACAGTTAACTGATGGTTTTTGGTCTACAGTCTGAGTGGTAAATGAATCACTGCAAACTGTGCTGTCTGGCCATTGTGGATTTTTATTACATAAATAAACTTCAGTCGTGCTTGATGTGTTTCCTCTTAGCAAAATTTTGAGCTATTTTAAGGTTTTCTACAAAGTTCTATTATGCATTGAATTCATGATTACTCATTCTGAAAACATGCTCCTTTTTATAAAATTATAAAGGTGACAGAGTCCTTCAGATTATTCTTGTTTAGAGCAGCTACTGCTGCTAGGTAGTGCTGATTGCACTGCAGCATTGCACTTCAACAACCTTATTGCTGCATAGTCTTTTTTTTTTTTTTTTAAACACCATATTTATCCTGCTGCTTAAATGCTGAGACAGCACCTTGGCTTCTTTCCCAAAAGCTTGTTCAGAAACCAGCAGCAGCCTCATCCTCTTTCCTTTAATATCATTTGCTTTGCAAGTGATGCAGCTTGTTCTGCAGAGTAGATATCTGCACTGAAACACTCCCTTGCAGTCTGCATTAGGGAGAAATGGATCTGCACGTTCGACAGAAATCAATGTTGCAGCAAGTTTATAGTATATAGAAATGCAAGTATTGCACCAGGCAAAGTAGAAAGGTTCAAAAGATGTTATCCTTCAGCTACTGAATTTATGCCTCTATCTTTCCTTTTAGAAAGATGTGGATACTTTGCCCTGTCTCCAGCGTCTGTTCCTCAGCTTCAACAATATATCTAGGTAAGGGGAATTAATACTCAGTTTCCTATAAGTAATTTGAAGCATCCTCTTGGAGCTGTATTTCATTAAAATTTAAACTCGATGAATGCAGGTTGTGGTTTTTATTTTTCCTATGTATGAGTATAATTAAGCCATTGTGCATTTTCTACTTTCAACATATTTAAACTTATTTTAACCATCTGCATTTGAGTGGGGATCCTCCTTCAAAACTTAGATTTTGAACTTAAATATGACCATTTTCTTTCTGATGATGCTGAAAATTAGAAGTAGTTCTGTAATTATATTGTTTTACTGTTAAACTACATATCTGGTAAAGCAACATCACTGTGTTTATAGAGTTATACAAACTGCTGAGTCAGATTCTGCTCATGAGGATTAGGTAAGATCATGCTTTTCTTTTTCTTGTTCATATGTGAATCAGGTTTGAAGGGTATATTCCTGGTGCTTTCTATTTCAAATCAGAGGGCAGAAACAGAATCACTGAACTTTCAAAGCAGAGTCTATTGTTTCAAGTAACTAAGTGCATTTTGGTATAAAGAAAAGTTAGTCTACAACATATTTTGTATTTGTGTTTTTGTACTGGTGCCAATGTTAAAATAAGCAATGATAGCAGTACAGGCACACTTGTTTTGATTTTATCTCCAGTCAGGTATATGCTTACTTTTACCCTTTAATCATTACCAGCCTTCTTTGCTGCTTAGAAGCAAATAATTTAATTTTAGACAGGGAAAGATGCCTCATGTTCTAATTACTGAAAATAGCATGCTATTCTTGTGGTACCCGTTTTCTCTGTAAAATGTTATACTTAATATGAGCTTTTATTATAAGAGCTACTTGAATATTTTAATTTGACCTGCATCATGTTTTCTGTAGACAGTTCCAACCTACTTGTATGCGTTCTTTAGGCTTTTAAGGTACCAATGCAGTGGATATCCCTAAATACTCCCGGGGTTTAAGTATTTAAACAGAATTAGAGATGAGCTTGCAGGAACAGTTAGTATGTTCTTCCCTTAACTGACCCCCTTGTTTCGGTTTTTGCTTTTTTTTTTAGCTTGACATAATAAAGAGTTAGCATTTTGCTTTGCTTATATAATTTCTGGCCTTGGAATGTGCCTTTTGTTTCTGTTTTCTGAAAAATGTCTTAGCCTGGCAAGAACAATGAGGGGACTGCAGTATCTGGCTCCTGTGCCACGAGGGAGCATCACTGCAGTCAGTGGAATTTCTGTATGCTTTATGTACTTGGTACATTTCACACAGCTTTCCTACGTTGCTGTTTGTGTGCATTCTTTGACTACATTTCTTGAACTGCATGTAATTGGTAGCTTACTTATTAATACTTTCTCACTTATTCATTGGGGTTTCAGCTGAACTGTTGATAAATTTAGTGTTGGCTGTCATGAAAGCTGGAGATAATTCAAATACTTGTGCAAATATCTATTTAGGTTTAACTTTTAGTTACATTAGATATAAAAATAAAATCTTACTGTCAGACAGACTACTGTAATATCTATCTATGTTTGTGGGCAGCTGTGTGAATTGAATGAATCTGGTTAACTCTTTAACAGTCTTAACAAAATACTTATATATATTTATGTGTGTAGATCTAGATATATTGCTTGTAGCTTTTGTTTGTGGGTGTTTTTTTTTCTTGTAGAAAAGACATTCCATTGGATTCGGCAGTTCTGGAAGCTAAAAAAACCTCTTCAGTTCTCCATTTTTAAATATGTAGTAGATATATCTCCCACAGGAAAAAGGGTTAAATATAAGATTATATTAATGACCCACCTGTGTATATAGTACTTGACTTAATACTGTTAAATTGATTGGAAGTGAACGCAACCATAATAGCAGTGAATTGCTGTGCTGCCTCTGAACCTTACTACAACCCTTCTAAATGCTTGAGTATTTTTTCCTGGGCTTATTTACCTGGGCTTATTAGGTACCATATGGTAATTGTAAAATTGTATTTTCTAGGAACAGCTGTGCTTATACAACTGATTCTTGGTGTAGACAATCAGTTACGCAGATATTCTAATTGATTTATCCAATGTGTGGAGAACCTCCAGGTGGAAACCATTCTTTAATTGTAGGAACAAAATATGTATTTTCACCATTAAAGTGTTTTCCAGGTCAGTGCCAGGTTGGTTCTTAAATTCAGTGAAGTATGTTATATGGCCATGTGGGAAAACAGCTTCCCAGCTCAAAGAGCTTATAATTGTTTTTCTTCAATTGATTACTGAGTTGGAAACCTGAGGGAAGGGATGTTCTTAACCTAACCAAAGCAGGAAAAAAATTACTTCCCTCAGTGAAATGAGGAATGTTGAATGAAAACATTATAAATACATTGTTAAATATTTGAATGAAAGCAATACAACAAGAATGAAAGGCTGGCTGTGGTAAGATCTGTTTTCATCAGTAGCGTAGTGATTAGGGACATGGAAAAACAGGGTTTTCTATTTTGAATGTTTTTTGAATGTGCAATTCTATCTTTAGGTGTTCTGACAGACTATAGCAGGTGTGTGGGGTAGCAAGTCTGCCTTCTCCAGAGCTCTTTGCAGAATGTGCTTGATCATCGATGCATTACTGATGGAAACATACAGGGAAGGAGCAGCTGTCTTCCCCAATAAGCAGGCTCTATTAGAAGACCAGTGCTGCTTTGTCCTGTTTGCACCTACTAGATGTCTAAATATGAATGCGTACATTGGGGGGAGGTTGAGCATACACCTCCAGAATACTGTGCTGCTTAGTCTGAGCCATGTTCTTATATAAGGCAGAAAAAGTGGGTTTGTATCAGCTCTGACAGGGAAGAGTTGAATGTAGTGCTCATAACCTTTGTGCACACTCAAACTGATAACTTGGTGAATCTGAAAACATTGTGAGGAAATATTTTTGGTAAGTTAGCCCAAATTCACTTTTTTTTATTTTTGGTGGCACTGAAACTGCTATTTTAGCAGAGATAAATTCATCTGGGAAGAAAGAAGGAAACAAAAGTGCTGGTTGGATGGGACTTGAGGAGGAGGACTTTTGGGAAAAGCAGCAGACATTCCACTCAGGGAGATGGTTGACCGAGTCGGTCTGACATGGCATCATCCACAGTTGTTTTGTGTTACTTGAGCAGGTCACAGACTCTTTTACTGTGAACAGAGGCTGGAGAGAGCACTGCCAGCAGCCTCTCATTCCCACAGAGTGGTCACCACTTGACACTGTCTGCATGCTGGGAAGCAGGCAGATGTTCAGTAGTAAAGTGAGTAACTCACTTGGCTTTAAAGCTTCATACGCTTTTGGATTGGGCTTCCAGTGCAATAAGTGTAGCATATCAAGTTTTTGAAGTTGAATTCCTGAAGCTCTAGTTTTGTTACGTGTGCTTGCAAATATATAAAAAGGTAGATCTTTTGCACAACTGTTTTGCACTAAAATCAAGCTGCTAATTAAGGGAGTTAAAAGCATGATGAAGCAGGCACGCCTTAGCTGTTGAATGAATGTTCTGATGTGCTGAGAAATTCAAAGCACAGCAGGTTTTTGAGTGGAAGGTTTAAAAAACAATAACAAACTTCCAACTTTCTTTTCAAATTTAAGTAATTCTCTGCTTAGGAACACTGTTTATTTGGGTCAGCTGCTCTCTTTGCACCTTTCATCTTTAGTAAAAGGAACAAGATAGCGGCTGTACGTGTCTAAATACATTTTACATAGGCCAGTTATTTTTGCCAGGAAACTGTCTAGTGTCTTAAAAAACCAACTTGCTGGTGTCTGTGGACTGTAGAGTTCGGTAGAACTCGGAACAATATTTTAAAGATATGATGCTTTCACAGCTTTTCTTTCAGCATTTAATGACGTTGCAAACACCCAGGATCATTCTTGGGGTTTTTGTACTTGTCTTTTTTTCTTGCATTTTGTGTTGTCTTCATGCTGGTTTTAATGGCTAAGATGTGTGTTACTTTTCATAGGCATCTTATTTTACTGGTGCTTTTTTCTTTTTGAGTAAAGGTAAACATTAATATTGATTCTATCCTTAAGAAATAAAATCCTCCATCTCTTAATTATTCATATTCTGTGGCATTAAAACTTTAAACTTTTTTGGTTACAGTTTTGAGGATATTCTGTGCCTTGCTGATTCCTCATCTTTGTCAGATATCACCCTTGATGGCAATCCAATAGCTCAGGAGACATGGTACAAACACACTGTTCTCCATCATATGATGCAGCTCCGACAGCTAGATATGAAGAGAATCACAGTAAGAAATTTATGTTTTCATCAAATTTACTGGTTTCTTAAATTTAGGAGTGAAATGTAGGGCTTTGTGTGTATATATAGGGAAAAAATAGTAACTTAGTGGTTTCACTAATTCACTGTTCAATTTAATTGAATGGTCCATAGACATTCTGATATTTAAAACTTCTTTCATTTTGTGCAGTGCTGTGTGAGGGTTTGCTTCTTTATTTCATTTATAACATGTTTAAAATAAACATTTAAACTTGTCATTAGTAGATACTGTGTGACCAATTGCCAAGTAACATGAGAAACTGCAGAACATTTTGTTAGAACTCTGTGTCATCTTTACTGGTTTGATGTATACCTGAAAAATATTCCTTCCAATGAAAACAGTATTCTGTTTACACTGAAACTGGCATTACCTATATTCTTTCATCGAAAAATTCTACTTTGTCTGCCATTCCAAGGAAACCTGGTGATCACACTGTACCTGCTTTTCTCCTTTCCATGCCTAACCTTCTCTCCCCTTTCATTTTTGAATCTATTGGTAAAGTTCAAGTAACCTTGATAAAGAAAGAGAGGACATGAAGGCATCTAGGTTCCTTCAGACTTCTTGAAAATACACAGTGAGGTAGAGGATGAAGGGCAAACACTGCAGGGGGCTTACCATTAAGACATCCATTTTCTTTCCTAGTGTAAGAGTACTCATGCTAATTCTTCTTTGTCTGCTTACAGAAATGCAACCACAACCTTTTTATAACATAAACCCAACAGCAAGACAGTGGCACTAAGGGACGTGATTTAATTCACTGACCTTGGGATGTCAGGTTGATGGTTGGACATGGTGATCTTGCTGGTCTTTTCCAACCCAAATGAGTTTATAATTCTGTAACAAATGTAACCTGCTTAACAAGCAGTGGTATTGGCATTATCTTTTCTGACCAGGTGCTGATACATATGCCTTATTTTAAATGCTCATTTGCTTTGTACGGCTGCATTAAAAAATGTGGCTATTGTTTTACCATATATCCACTTGACCTGTAGCCAATACACTGCAAATATGAAATAGAGCTGATTATGATGTAAGGTTAAACAAGTACGTGGAAAACATGAATTCTAAAAATGAACTGCTTTGGACATGGGAGTTTCACCAACAGTATCTAAACTACTACTTCCCCCCCCCAGGAATTCGTTAAGTAGGTTTCTTTTTTATGCTGTATATTAGCTAATTGCTTTGCTTTTCAAAAGAATGCTTTCTCAGTATTATTTCAGAAACATGAGTCAAAATGCCTTTTTTCTTCTTCTCCTACTTGAGAAGAGACAGATCCTGTAGAAGTCGGTGATGGCAAACCTGTAGGAAAAGCTCTAATCCCTTTGTAGACTGTATAGGATCCATGTGGGAAAAGGCTATTAGAAATGCACAACCTTGGGAAAAACTTAATCTGAGTTCACACCTTGTTAAACATAAGAGGATCAACCCATAAGACAAAAAGCCATAGAAAACCAGGCTTCAGCAGTTGTGCTGCTCATAAAACTACTTGTAAAAAAAGTGTGGTTTGCATCCTTTTTATTTGCCTTCTGGTTTTTGAGCCTGAAGAAAATGTTTTTAAATCTTTTATCAATATAGATGGTGTTGTAAGCTTTTTCCAATAAAAACTGTGTTACCCAGATAATCATAGGACTTAGGAATCTTTCTGTTATTACTGTTTTTAAAGAAAAATAACAAGTAGCATGAGGTTTGTGATTAAATTAGGCAATTGACAATGCTGAACCCAGTTATTCTGCCTAGTAATGCAGCATGCTGTTACTATGCACTACATTAAATGGAAGCTGGTGGGTAGTGGGCATGCAGTATTGGGTGCATGGTTTTTCTCACTTGGTTAGTATGCCTAAGGTAATACATTTGTAGGATCTTTCATTCATTTGCCTGAAGTGCATCCAGACTGTTTTGGACTTAAATATTGCTTTGTCTGGCACAGAACTGAGAGCTGGGTGTTCTGTCAAAGTATTCTTCCCTAACTGTTTCAGAAGTTCCTCTTCTCGACAAATGGGAATTACACAATTCTTATTCTTTTATCTTTCCTTTTGCTTGCTGGCTTCACTGGGACAAGAAAATAATTCTAAGAAAGAATAAAACATAAATGATGTTTTCAAAAGCTTGTTAGGAGGCTTTGAAGCTGGCTTTTAAGAGAACATTCTCTTTAGTGCCAGGCATTTTCCATAGAATCCTCTGCTAAACGTGGACATCTGAGGAAGAATTCTAGTGGCAACAGCCTTGGGAGACTGTTGGGAAACACAGCTGCTGCAAGTATCAGATACTCTGGAATTGCAGCTAATTGTTCTAGTATTCTTAAAGTGGAGAATTTCTTTAATTCAGGGAATTCTGTCATACTGTTACAATTTATGAATCATTTTCCCATGAGGAAATTGGTGTTTGAGCTATCTCATTACTAAGCAGTTTTGAAAACAAATTTTAAGCTCTTAAACCAGTAAGGCACCGACCGAAGAAATCATTGCACAGGTAGCTAAGCTCCACTGACAAGTCAGGGCTTTACATATCTGAAAAAAAAAAGTGTGTATGTGTGCGTGTGTATGTATGTATATATGTATGTATGTATACATTTATTTGTTGTCTACACTAGAAGATAAACTCCAGCTTGAGAAACCTATCCACTTCATATTATGCATCTAAAGTACCAACTTATGGGAATCTTTTGCTGTGTGGAAGATGTAATAACAGCAACACAATAGTCTGCCTTCTGCAAGTCTCAGTGGAACGAAATTGTGTGAGTAGTAATAGTGCAGCAATGAAGAAGAACATGTGCATTTCAAGTGTACTCTGTTCAGGATCCTTGACAGCATTTGCTGTGAGTTATCCCTTGAATGGATGCTGGCTGGTAATGAGAAGTTTGGCCCGAGTCAGTGTCATTGTTAAGGGAGAGCTGATGGGCGGCAGGGGGAGCTATCGCCATGACCAAGCTGCAGGCAATTGCGTTGCAGGGTAATAGTTTTAATATGTTTTATTTTTTTGGCATTCGGTCACTGCTGCAACTTCACGCTGAAAACGTAAATCTGTGTCCTCAAAATCTCATTAATGGCTTATGGATTGCAGAAAGCAAGACTTGTGCTGGGTGGGTGCTTGAAGATGACTCCCTAGCCATTTAGTAAGTGGAGAACTAATAAATGGAGGTGATTGCGCTAGAAAAAAGAACATCCAACTCTGTAATGATCTGGCACCTTCACCTTCTAGAAGAACATCCCCCCCAGCATGGAGCTTAGAGATTTGGTTTCTTCTGTGGTCATAGGATTAACAGGCTTCTTAGTGTGATGACACTTTCTTTCCTGGCAGGCTACTGCGGTAGGAACCTTGACTTCTTCCACAGATGCCCAGCATGCTTGTCTGAACCATTCAGCAGGCTTTTAAGTTTTTCTAAGGTGTACCTTAGAAAATCCTTAGGAAATCCTTTATCAGTAGTGGGTCCTGACAGTCTGGAATTAGAATTTAGGAAAGAGTGCAAAAGGATACTTGGCAAGTTTTGGAGGATGACAGCTGTCAGCAGCTCATTAACTACTTAAAGATTCATTATTGTTAGCCTAACAATTTATTTTGAACACATAAAAAGAGAAGATGGAGAAGATAGGATTTAAAATAGCTTTAGTTCATCTGGCAACTATCAAAAAGGCACAAAGTTATGGATGAAAGCAGCTGAATAATGAGGGGAAACAAAGGGAAGTGGAGAAGGAAAGAATTTCCAAAGATGTGGAGCTAAAAGGGAAGAGTGGGTGATAATGAAACTGAGTTGTAGCAGGCTTATTAAAGGCTTTGTTTTATAGCTGCCTGAGTTTTGTTTGTTCTTCAGTGTGTTTTTTCTTCAAGATTGATTGCATGTGTTCTGTAAGATTAATCAAGAAACATATATAGACTCGACTTGTATAAAAAGTGGATTTGGCCTTTGAACTTCATTCAGATGTTTTCTCCATCATTCTACCTTTTCAAATACTGAGAAAGAACTAGTTGTTTGGGGAGGTTGGTTTGTGTTTTTTTCTGTGTTATTTGTTGTTGTTTGTTTTATTTCTTTGAGCTCACTTCTTTTGTACAACTATACAAAAGATGTAGTGCTTTTTAAATGTCTCAAATTATGATAGACTTTTGATAAAGAAGAAAATCTGAACAGCATTTGCATTGGTTCATCTCAGTACAAAGAACAAGACTTGGGAAAGTACTGGACAGACTTGAATGTGGGCGGCAGACCTTCATGGCTGGCAGATGGGGTCATAAAATGTGGATTTGATGCTGAATTAAGTGAAGGCTTTGGAGTAGAAGATAGGGTGGTAAGGGACATTTGTGGAAGCTGCAAGAATTGCATTAGGAAAGTTTGTGGATATTTGCCTTAACCTGAATTCGTTCTGACAGAAGGTGAAATCATAAGGCACATTTTTTACAGATTAGTGTCACTTTATTGTTCAGCTTTCACCTTCTCCTGTGCTAAAGGTAACAGTGACTCAGGTAGTCTGAAGCTGAGCATATGGTGACTGGCCAGCTGCTTCCTGCCAAATAGGATGGATGATACCTGCTCCCAGTCCCTTGGTGGGAAAACTGGTTTACATTTTTCTTCTTACTGCTTTTTATATAATCAAACATTGGAGGAAAGAAAGAACAACTTTCATTTCAGAGTTCTAAACATACTTAAAGTTACTTAATGTGTTCGATGTGTTCAGAAGTTGTTAGAAAAGATGAGATCAGAATCAAGAAAACTGAAAGCTAAAAATCAAATTTTAATCCCCTTTTGATTGAACTTTACAGTAATCCCCTATTTAGGAAGAACTGAAAAGTCCAGGAGCAGATGAGTCTGCCAACAGAACTATCCTTCAGAAAGCTAGAGGCCTTCTAGGGTGGAAGAGTGTAAAATAAATAGAAATAAAATAATAAATTAGGGTTTTCAATTTGTGTTCTAGGGAGGTTGTTGCCTGAGGCTGAGTAAGAAAAGTGTATTTTACCCAAAGCCCTTTTCCTTAATTTGTATTAAGGTAGGCCTCTTGTTAATGTATGTATGTTAGGCTGAAGTCGTAGGACAGTTCTGAAGTTCAGCGGCCTTACAGACTGATGTCAAAATGTGTGATGTGTCATTAGTCTTCAGGGCTAGTGTGCAGGTAGGTTCACATACCAGGTGTGCTTACTAGTTTATTTATGTATATATTGTTATAATAAATGGAAATTATTTTCTTAAGCATGTATTAATGATGTTAAGTGTCAAGTTACTTCTCTAGTTTGTCTTCCAGTAGGACACTGATCCATGTGCTTAGGGGTTCTTATAGTGCTGTAACCATAGTACGTTTGAATTGTATCAGAACTTTGTCATATCAGTATCTTCCTGTTCATCTCTGTTTATTGATGTTCTTCACTTATAACTTTTTGGAAGGTGGAAGTGAAAAGCCTGGGACAGGAGCTCTCTATTTTGATGGAAACCAAAACACTTCATGTTCTTGGAAGATACATTAATAGAAACACCCAAATGGCATATGAAGTAAATGAAAATAAATTTAAGTATGCTTACTAAATATTTTTGTTGGAAGAACTCTACGCTTTTTACTTCATAGGGAACATTTCTTTTGTTACTTGGAAAATGCGTGTTCTAAAAATACTGTGCTGTGAGAATGTTTAGACTTCTGTAAACAGAGAACATTCAACCTAATATGGTTGTATTGCAGTACTGAATTAAATATCTCCTGGACCAGGAGAATTTAATATCTTCAATCGTATGACTTCCATTATTCAGGAGGAAATGACATTCTTCTTGAACGTGAACAGGCAGTAATACTGACAAGAAATAATATTCGTGTAGTACAGTTAATTTTGAAAATATTCTTCTGAAGTTCTGATGTTGAATGAGGAATAACTAACCTTTCTAAGACATACATAATGATAAAATTATTGTTTTGGCATAAATTGAGAAACGTCCACTCATCCTGTGCACCTTCTTACCAAGAAACATGCTAATCATAAAAAATACTGTCCTATTTGAAAACGTTTGTTAGTGTTTTACTGATCATATACTTAATGTTTTTTTCTTTTTTTGAAGAGCCAGACAAATACAATTATAAATAGATTCATCTTCAGTAGTTCCATCTAGTAGATAACTTTTTTGTATTTCTTGATTTATTTGTAGAAACATTTTTTGTTTTACCGTTAAAATATTTAATTCTTATGCATACATACATAGTTTTTAAATGCCAACATAATGAAACTTATTCATAATATTAATTCATTTCTGAAACTGTAATTCATAGCTTTGTAAAATTGTAATATTTTTTTTTGTCTTCTAGGAAGAGGAAAGACGCATGGCATCTGTTGCAGCTAGGAAAGAAGAAGAAAGGAAGCGTGAAAGTCATAAACAGAGCTTGCTTAAGGTATTTAATGTGGCTGTTCTAACTAAAATGAGATAAATCCACCATAAATTATTTACAATGTTACCTAATATTTTTAATCTAGTTCTTAATTATCCCAGATATCCCATACCTCTATTAAAATTTTTTACAGCTTAAACACTTTACCCTACAGTTGAAGTTCTTCATTCAGCTATTCAAATTACCTAATAACCAAAACACAAACCAACCAACCAAACAAAAAACCAGTTGAATATGTGAGGATGGTGCTCCATGTAAAAAGATAGCAAACTTCATTTTCCCAAATACAGAAGTAAAGTAAAACCAAGAGTGAAGGACTTTTTGGTGATTTCAGGTCCCTGGAATACGGTCATGAGTGCTCTGATGCCACATAGTGTTTTTCCTTTGTTCTTTCCTGTTGAGGTGATTCCTCTTTGTAGAGGGAGCTAAGCAGTTAGCAGAGCAGCAGCTAGGCTCCAGTTGTCTTTTTCAGAGGAGCACTTATGTACTGTACTAACGTGGTTGGTTAGTGCTTGTTCACATGAGATGGAATAGATAGATCCCACAGGGGAGACAAGGGCACACTCCAGAACCCTTGTGCAGGCTGGTGACTAAATGACTGACTGCTAGCAGGAAACCGAAGTTCAAGGATACAAGACTGTCAGCATTCCTTTTGTTGCATTAATTTGTTCCCAAATCATTTCCTATTAATAAAGGTGCCTTAAAACCTTCTTTGTTCAATAATGGTTATACAAATTGCTCTCCTGATGTAGCAAGTGGGGAGGAGGGTGGGAGGACAAGGTGGGGAAATCATGCATCCATACTGTGAAGTTGTCTAAAATTGTCCCTTATGAAGGGAATTAGACTACGTCAGTTGCATGAGTCTGTAAGAAGTGTAGCAAATTTACATAACTCTGAAAATAAAAACATTGTTATCAACAGATTAGAAGATGTTTAAGCATAAACTGAGTGGGGAAAAAAAGAATTGCGTCTAGAGCTGTGCCAGATCAACAAAGTAGTCTTAGTGGTTATTTTGTTGGTTGTTTTTTTGTTAGTAATTGTTAGGTAGTGGTTTTTGTTTATTTTTTTTTAATAGAGCTTTGTATTGGGAAATAATGGCTTATCTGAAATCTATTCCAGTTTGACATTTTGATTCCTGGTCTCAGTAAGAGAAAGAAATGGGAAATTAGGAAATAATAATTATACATAATGCTTTATGCTGTTGACAACCTAATTGGAAGGAAGTTTGTGTTTGTTTGTAGTGCATGTTCTTAACCACTGATGTAATGTTTTCTTGTAGTTGAGAGATTGTTTGCTTTGGTGGCACAGATTTCTCAATGCACCTTGCCAGTGAAAACTTCCCATAGAGGAAAAAACATGTTT